ATGAAGGCGTAAATATTCATATTCGTATCTGCATTGGTTTAACATTAATTAAAGCCGGTGGTCGTCGCGCCGCGTTCTGTTCGATATGAGATCATAGCGACGTATACAACGCGTGTAAAATACATTGTTTATTTATATGAAATTGGAACACGCGCTGCGCGACGACCACCGCGTTTTAAGTTTAAAAATCGGCTTCATAATCTAATAGTTGCACTTTTGCTTATTCTATTATGCCTTCAGGTATTTTTTACAGTTTCTTTGATTCGATATGAATGCAAATCTAAAACAAAACACCAGTTGAATAGAAATACAAATAGTGCGGTCATAGTTACTCACAATTATTATTAGTTGTTGGTGTAGTTGGTTGTATGGATCCCCTATCGCCACAGTCTGCACAGTCTGTTCCTAGGTCGCATATACTATACATAGAACCAGCACCACCATCATCGCATTCACCGTCGTTGTTATAGTAACAAGTATCAGTGCAGTCTGTACATAAATAACGGAGAATCGCACACATGGTATGAAAAGTGGTTATGACATATATAGTTTCAGTTCGGATGGATATAGCAGAAGAGGACCAGAAAACCACCTATTATATTATATCCAAATATGACTGTTTGTACTTTACTGTTTTAGCCAGTGTTAGTACCAATGAAATGAAATTCAGCAATTTATGGTCTGACCAGGCTTATCAATGGATGAATGATGGAAAAATAACAAGGTCATCTGGAAAGGACAGCATTCATTGACCGTTTGGCATGAATTGTTTAGGCATAACCAATATTTACCAAACTTTTTCTTTATTTTAAACCCACAAAGTATATTTAATTAAGAGGAACTCTTTAGTAATCCTAACTAGATTTACATGCAAGTGAGGTCACAGAGGTAACTAATCTGAATAAAATAAGATCTTAGTTTGGGCTTTAAAAATATGTTTTTAATTATTTATGTTCATCATACACATTCTTTTACTTATTTTATTATTTTTTTCAGGCAGTTTTTTAAAAATTTTGGCCAACAAAGTACCAAAGGTTTGCACTCTCTGAGTGTCATCTAATTTATTCATGTCGCCTAATTTATATTGTACTTTCGTGATAATAGTTATAAAAACATGTTAATATTTATGAGTTGGCATAACGTAAACACTCAATGCGCCCTTCATATGTGAACTGTATTGGAATTTAGATGGGGTTTCGAAAACTCGGCGACCAGTTTATATTTTGAGATGTAGTATGCTTACTTCGTACTGTACGCTCCTAACACTATTTTTGTATTTATATCTAGGTTTTCTACTTATTATTGTTTGCAATATTCATGCGCGAGTCTCGGTATGCAATTAAAGCACTTCTATCAATTTCTCTGAGTGCGTATGTTTTCACATATTAGAACAATTTCAAAGTTCAGGGGTTTACACCGTTCTGCTAAACAAGGGACGAGAAATTTATTTATGTGTATATGTATATTTATAGACAGTGGTTAAGTCATGGAATAGAATGCATAGGTCATCAGTATAATACCTGAAGCCCCCTAATGTCATACGAACAGTTTACAAACAAACAAACAAACAAACAAACAAACAAACAAACAAACAAATAAATAAATAAATAAATAAATAAATAAATAAATAAATAAATAAATAAATAAACAAACAAATAAACAAATAAATAAATATGAGTATATTGCATACAATTCCACGATCCTGGTAAAGTTTCTTGAAGATAATGTATGTGAGCAGGTACAAATGTCCAGGCACCCCTAGTCCTAATTTTACAGGGAAAACACATGCTTTATTAATAATTTATTGGTTAAAACACGGTATGGGAGTCCGGTATAAATTTCCAAATGGAAAGATACAAATCATGCAGATTGGGAACAAATTTGGTAATATAAAACTACAATAGAAGACAAAATTGAGAAATTTCCAGTTTAAAATTTTACATCGTATTCTTGCCACAAATTATTACCTGTTCCAGAACAAACTTAAAACTGATGATGAATCTAAATATTGTAAAAAAGAAAAAAAAATAGAGCACCTCTGGGAGTGCAAAATTGCGATTATTGGGAGAAATTAATTATTAATTAATTAATTGACGGAATTTTAAAACTACATAAAAATATTGTACACTGACATCGGTAATATGTTATTTGGAATCCAAGAGGAAGGCACTCCATTGAATCATCTCATTTTAATACTTGTTCTATAAAAGTCATTATACAAATTTAACTTTAACACATTTTATCATAAAATGAATGTTGAAAAAGAAATCTTAAGAGAAAATAATTTTATTTTGAAGTGGGGCCCGCTGACTAGCTATTTGGACGACTGGAGTCCGCAATGATTTGTTTTATTGGGACTGTCGTACTTGATGTTTTGTTTGGTTGTGTGTTTAATTGCGGAGATATGGAAATTACTAACATGATGTTCTTTCGCCACAGTCTGCACAGTCAGTTCCTAGGGCACACAAACTATATATAGAACCAGGACCACCATCATCGCATTCACCGTCGTTGCTAAAGGAACAAGTCTCAGTGCAGTCTGTACATAAATGAGGCAGAATTGTACATATTATAAGTGATTAAATCATACACGGTAAGTGACCAAGTAAT